CAAACTTTTTGAATATTAGGGCTTTTGAATATATATTAGGCCTTGCAAAGTGGTGCATAAATTTCAAAATATATATCTGAAAATTAACTTTCACTTTTTACAGCCATCCAAAACGATTCATGGGTAGTTTTGTAAAAAAAAAAATGATTCTCTCCTGCTTTCAGAAAAGAGTGAGTTACTGGTTTCCTACCAGATGTTCGGGGGTGGTAGAAAACCAATAAATCATTCCTATTTGGTGTTATAACGTTTGTGATTTAGCACGAGAAATCGTTCCACTCATATTTCTCATCGCTAATCTGCTAAAACTCGCTAAAATCAAAGTATTGCGTCGATTCCCAAACGATTTTACTGTTGTTCCCGTTATGATTTTTTCATTGATTCCCGAACAATTCTGCTGATTTTCCTGTTAAGATTCTCCTGCTTTCGAGTAGGAATAAGTTATCGATTATCTACAGGTGATTAATGAAAACGAGTGCAAAAAGCGTGCAAAAACTCGAGTGCCGCCTTCATTGCTGGATGAATTTTTTGGCGTTTACTGCTTGATCAGCCGAAGTCCGAACAAATATTTCAAGGTAATCATTTTCAAAGTAATCATTTTTGAAAATTTTTCTAGATAATCATTTCGACCAGTTTTTTTTATCAGTGGCCATTTTACTGCGCTAATATCAGGTTCTTATTTTCGAAATTTTTTTAAAGATATTTTTTTGTTTTTCGTTAGACAGATTCTCTTATTATGCGTTTTTTTTTGCAGCTATGTAATGCAAAAACGCATATTGACAAGGGGTTGTCTGTGTGTCCGTTTGTCTGTGTGTCCGTGTGTCTGTGTGTGCGTCTGTCACGCACTTTTATCTCAAAACCTATAAAAGCTGCAGGGCTGAAATTTCGAGAACATAATCTACATGCACGTACCTGCCCCAATTTCCAAAATGGGCGCTATCACCATGTGGTACCTGCGTACGGGCCCGCCAAAATTTTTTTCGGGTAAGTTCATAACTCGTGCATCTGAGAAGCTAGAACGCTGAAATCTTAGGGGGATGTTCCTCGTCCAAGTGGGCATTAATGAGGCTCATACCCAACCCCCGGGTAAACGTGGTACTCGAGTACGGGCCTGTGAAAGTTTCGAGCATGTTGCTAACGCGGGTAGATGAGAAGCTGGAAGACTGGAATTTTGAAGGGATGTTTCCTGACTACCCAGGCGACCAGTCTGAAATTCTTTTGGCTAGAAGCATCTGCCGGAAAAACCAGTGCCATTAGCGATAAAAATTTGCGGGGAGTTATGTAAAAAACGCGCCTTCGCACAGGCAGCCCGTGCGTTGGCTAATTATTTTTTCATTTTGTAATTTACTTTTTATAGGCTTAATTTTAGTCTATAATTAAGAAATTGACAATGTGTTAATTCCGGTTAAAAGCCTTTCTTAAGCCGTGACTCCTTTCCAGTTTACTGTTTGCGAAAGGCGGAGGCAGTCTGAAGAACCTTCAGTATCAGCAGCAACCACCAATGGGATAGAAGCCTCCTTTTCTAGGAGTTGTTTAAAAGAAAGCTGATGTCGATTTTGATTCCGTGGCATGTCTTGTTACTGGTTTGTCATCGAAACGATTGAACGAGTCGTAATGGGATTGGTCTTCTCACGGGTAGATTCGATCTCTCGATCTTGAGAATGAATGAAAATCCGTTATTATGTTTTACTTATCGTGAGAAGCACTTGCAGAATCGTTGTTACATTGGATATACAGTGAATCCGAATCGCCGGATTCGCCAACATAACGCCGGGAAAGAATTTGGAGGCGCCAAGAAAACAGACCACAGAGGACCATGGTATGTTGTGTGTTTACCGCAAAATTAGGCAACATTCTTGAATTCCTTCGCTCCAAAAACAAGGATAGGGTCTAAATAATTTGAAAATTTCAATATAAATGCATTTTGAGATAATTTAAGGGATATGGTCTGCATTATACATGGATTCCCCAATAATGTATCCGCTCTACGTTTCGAATGGGCCTGGCAAAATCCGGAAAAATCACGACGGCTGCGAGCTTTGAATCTGAAGAAAAAACCAAAGGAATCAGCTTTCCAGTTTCGCTTACGCATTGCCTGTCACATGCTCAGCAGCGATCCGTGGCGACGGCTTTCTCTAACATTTCGATGGCTTTTACCAGTAAATATTTGTAACTTCATTTTCATCGAAGTATGGGCGTTAGGCCGACCCACTACCCTTGAAGTATTATGGATGTGTTGGAAATCCAAACATTACACAGAGATTATGGATGTGTTGGGAATCCAAGCAAACATTACACAGAGATATGTAATACGAAACGGTACCAGTACAAAATAACAGGGCGACAATTCTAAGGAAGGATCGGCTTTAACGAACACCGACACCGTGTTACGACGACTGGCCCCAATGACTAGCCGTTTCAGCATTCTCAGCATTCGGTATTCAGGCGGGGGAAGGGGGGGGGCGATGGGCCTTTTGCCTTCTTTCCTCCCCGGCCCTCGGAGATTCGTTAACGTAATGCCGAAAAGAATCTGAAGGCACCATGAAAATAGACCATAGCATGTACAAGTGCTACAAAAGTCAGAATCTAGGGCTAAAACTGAAGAAAACCTCGTTTGCACTCCCGGTCGCCCTTCCCTTCCTCCAAGCCGCTTTCCCCGCTCCCCCTTCGGCCCCTGTTGGCGTCAATATTGTCCTAATATACACATACCACTGGGTGGGCACTCTGTTTGTCTGATAGCAAAAAGCACTATTACAGTAGATATGAGGAATTGGTTGACTGGGAAGTCGCTAACCACTTAATATAAAGTAGCAACTGTTCCAGGCATCCAGAGTGCAGCACTTGAGCATTTGCAATTTCAGTCCCATTTTAACATTTTATGTATGTGTATGTATGCATGTATGTGCATGTATGCATGTATATGTATGTATGTGTGTGTGTACGTATGTATGTATATATGTATGTATATATGTATATATGTATGTATGTATGTATGTATGTATGTATGTATGTATGTGTGTATGTATGTATGTGTGTATATATGTACGTGCTTGTATGTATGTATGTAAGTGCATGTATGTGTGGGCATGCATGTATGTATGTGTGTATGTCTCATTCATCTGAGCGACCTTAAAAGCTTTTATTATATATTGTTAGCAAAAAACAAAGACATGGTAACGAAAAAACAAAAGATTGTGTGACGAAGGGCGTAACGTCAAAATTAACTATGGCACGCGGTAATTTAAAGCTGTTGGTGTGCCACTCTCCTCTCTTCAATATTAGTTTTACTCATTTGTAAGTCTAGTGGAGTGGTATTTAATATCATAAACCATGTAGCGATCGGAAGACTTGCGCGGCCGAAGGCCTGTACGATGGCTCTTCCCTCGATCAGCAAATAAAACTTTATTAGCACAAGCGCAAAACAAACCGCCCGCAAAAGGAATAAATCGCAACGCGCACCAGACTAGCCGGTGCGATCATGCGTTTTTTGCAATTCAGCCCATCGAACGATTGC